TCAACATACATTTTCAAAAGTATCACCGTTAAAATTTTTGGAAAGCTATTTATACTGTATCAGTGGGGGTCTGGAACCTAAACAGAAAAACATCTGCAGTAGAAATTTAAGACGTTTCAAACGGAAACTGTCTATAAAGTGAACCATGGAAAAGCTTTCCTGGTAAAGTAAAAGCTTTTCACTGCTGACATTGACATTGACATTGAATGCCAATAATAGGGCCGATAATAGGGACAAAGTCGATTAAAAATGAATTTACAGATATTTTACCTAAGCCGAATTTCGCGATACTCTCAAGTCATTTAGTCTGTTTGTCTTGTCAAAAGTATCTTGAAACTGGATATGGAACACAGCGTGAAATTCAAAATATAAATTTTAAGACTCATCCGTCGTGGTTCACGTTCGTCGGTTTCACAACGCCGCTAGAATTTGGTCATTTCACGTTGTTGTCAGCGCGTGCGCAATTTACGCTACCAGCGCACTTCGGTAAGATCAAACAGAGCCACACGGAGCTAGTTTTTCTCCTTCTTTTGCACTTGTTTTCTTTCTGTTTTTCTATTGTTCTATTTTTGCTTGTAATTTGTTATTTAATTTGCATCTTGTGAAACACAAAGAACTGAAATACATCTAAAATGTAAACGGATTCACAAGTTATTGAGTTCAGGGCGGAAAAAAATATATAAGCGCCCTGATTGAGTTATTTTTATTTTCCGCGCTCAGGCTGACGTAAGCAGCCGGAAGTAAAATTTCGCCTCTTTAGCAACGCGCGCGAGCGCGCGCATGAATCGGTTACTGGGCGCTCTTAAAAGGTGGACAGAAGCCAAAGAAAATTCAGAAAAGATGGAGCAATAGATCGGATTACCTAAATTCTTAAAGAAATTTAACTGAGCCTGCTCGAAATTCTTCCTGCAGGACATTTTTAGTAGCTGACTGCCATAGCCGGAAATGTCCGAAGACTAGATTTGCCTGTTCCGTAACAGTTCAAAATTCAGCTGAGATATAATAA